ATTGTTGACAAAATGAATCAAACCCATATTTATTTCTACGTTATCAAATTCGCGATTTTAATTGGTCAATCAACAAAATTGCATGGGTTAAAATTTTGTATTCCCTCCTGTTAATTTTTGTGTTCCCAGTACGTTCTCTCCTGTTTCCTGTTCCTGCTCCTTGTTGTACAATACCTTATTAGGTAATGGAAATAAGAATCAACTTTGAGCAGAAATTTTCTTAGTTGTTTCCATAACTTCTATATTTGGGACTGATCTACACAATAAAATTTACACGTTTTTTTAAAAAAGATGTCAACTCGTGAAAGAATTGAAGAGGCATTGTTTCTAAATCTATTCCAAGAAATAACTGAATTGGATGAATTTGATGAAAGTTTTGATGAAAACAAATTAGAATATTTCGAAGATAGGAATGAAAACTTAAAATTTTTTTTGGTTTCACTATTAAATTTTCGTTACCTTGAACCAAGGATTCACACTAAGGATACTGGCTGCAACTTTTGATGATGGTTGCTACCACCTTTACGACCATTTTGTTTCCTTTTTTGGATTGCAACATGGAACACTAATTCACACTAATCAAATTTCTTTAGACAAGTTTCATAATGTTTATCTTCAGTATAATGAAGAAAGATTTAAAAATTTTTTTCAGATGTCCAAATCTAATTTTAATATATTAGTAGATATTTTAAAGATTAATCCAATATTTCATACAAATGCCTTTATTAAACAAATAGATGTTAATTTTCAAGTATCTGTGTTTCTTAGAAGACTAGCCATTAAAGGAGATATTTTTACCACATCTAGTTTGTTTGGAATCTCAGAAGGAACTGTTATTCTATATACAAATCGTATAATAAAGGCTATTTTAGAGACAAAAAATAATTATGTCAAATGGCCAGTTGAACAATATAGACATGAGATATTAGGTGGGTTTCAACAAATTGGTGGGTTTCCAAATGTAATAGGAGCAATTGATGGAACACACATCAATTTAACAAATGCTCCTTCTAAAGACCCAGAAGTTTTTTTTAATCGTAAAAAAAGATACTCAATACAATGCCAGGCTATAGTTGACTATAGAGGAATATTCACCAATTATTTAATTGGCTGGCCAGGCAGTGTTCATGATGCTAGGGTGTATTCCAATTCTGAGTTCTATATAAATAGGAGAGACTTTATTAAAGATGATGATATTGTTTTAGGAGATTCTGCATACCCAATTTCCCCTTTTATGATTTACACCTTTTAAAGTTTCTCAAACCTCTACACAAATTCAATTTAATCAACTTCACTCTAAACATAGAATAGTTGTAGAGCATGCATTTGGCAGACTTAAATCTAGATTTGTTGCACTAAGAGAATTAAATGTTAAAAGTATCAAAATGGCTGTTAGATTGACAGAATGTGCTATAATCTTGCATAATTTTTTAGAGTTAAATGGGGAAATTTGGGATGAAGGAGCAGATGTGAATGATTATAATGACAATGATGCAAACTTGGTCATGGAATGTGAAAGTGAATTGGGGTTGAAAAGAGCAGGAGAAGAAAAAAGAAATCAATTAATTAATTTTCTAAGAATTTAATGAATTATACTATATATATATATATATATATATATATACAGTGTGTAACAAAAAAAACTGGATATTTTTATTTTGCCATTGCTCCTCAATGAGTCAGTCAATTTTTATAAAAAATGGGTCATTTGTAAGATAAAAACAACCAAATTTATTGATAATAATTAATAAGAAATCCGTTCTCCATTTCTCTCAATAATGAGCTCACAACGTCATCTCATTGATTCTATTAAATTAATTAACATGCTTTCCGGAGTTCTATTCCACTCCTCCATCATAAATCTCTCTAGTTCACCAAGATTTTTTGGCATACGCCTCTCTACATTATTCTTAACAATTCCCCAAAGGTTTTCAATTGGATTTAAATCGGGACTATTTGATGGCCAGTCCATAACCGCCGGAATGTTTTCTTTCAGAAACTCCGTAGCAAGACGACTCGTGTGTTTTGGATCATTGTCTTGCTGGAGTCTCCATCTACCTCCAAGCATCCTATTTACTTCCGGCATATGTTTCTGGAGGATTTCTACATAAAATTTGGCATCCATTATCCTCCTGAAGCAAAATAAACTTGTTTTTCCGACTACGCAAAATCCGCCCCATGCAAAAACTTTTGTGCGATCTTTGGGCATGGGACAAATTGGCCACTCACCTTTGTACCAACGTTCGATGGTGTTTCGGTAAAGTTGAAACGCGGTTTCATCAGAAAATAATGTCTTCCTCCAATTGTCATTAAGGTGCTGACATGCCCACTCAACACACCTTTGCTTATGGGCTTCGGTTAACATAGGTGTTTGTTTAGGCAATGCTTTCGAGTACCCATAAGTGGTCAAGTGCCTCGAAATTGTCATATGTGACACGTCAACACCTGTATTCGACACTTTTCGAGCTAAGGTCCATGTGGAAATTGAGTCATTTCTCCGTATTGATTGTCCAATCATCTTGGAGGTATTCCCAGTTATTTTCCTGGGCTGACCATTTCCTCGTATGTGCTCCACCGTCCCTTTTTCTTTTATTTTTTTAATGTTATCATAAATAGTAGACAATGGGATGTTTGTTCGGTGATGAATTTCTTGGCCATTGTGAATGCCTTCATTCCACAATTGTAATATGCATTGACGTTGTGTTTCTTGTTTAGAAGCGGGCATTGTGTTTGTACATAAAGCAAAAAGTACACTAAGGTTCAGGGTTATAAACAACGCTCAAATTTACTCCTGATTATCATGTTTATTTTCCATTTTATATCTCTCAAATTGGACAGAAAACAAACACGTGAGACGCGTTTAAATTGCATAAAAAAATATCTGGTTTTTTTTGTTACACACTGTATATATAAATCTAATAAAAATTTAAAGTAATAATTTTTTTGATTCTAATTCTAATTTTTTTTTTTAAATTTTCAGGATTTAATCTTTCCACCTCCAATTTTTCTCTTTGAATTTCTAATTCTAATTTTCTTAATTCCATCTCTTTATCAATTTTGTACTTTTCCAATTGTATTTTGGAATCAATTTCCTTCTCTTGCAATTCAATTTTTTTAACAAGGAAGTTATCTTTAGATTGATTCATCGAAACCATTAAATCTGAAAGAGCTTCATAATTATTATTTTTTCTTTTTTTATTTTTCAATTCATCTTTTTTTTTTGGAAGGGATTATTTCCTCAACTTCTTCATTATCTGTATATGTATCATTAGTGGACAATGCCAAATATGTAGGACTTACATTCTCTCTTGTACCAAATATTTTGTCTAATTTGTCAAACCATTTCCATTTAGTTGGTGCTGATCCAGTCTTATTAGTTGATTTTTTTTCTTTTAAATATGAATTACGTAATTTATTCAACTTATTTTTTATTTGCTCATTATTTTTACCAGCCAATAAATTTTTATCAATCAAAGCTTGATAAAATTTGTTTTTATTACCAGAGGACCAATTCTTATAATTTTCATCCAGATAGGCAATTAAAATTTCTACTTCTCTGTCACTCCATTGACTATCTTTATTTTCTTTATTTTTTAAACAAATATTTTTATGTTCAAAAACATGCTGTTGCTGGTGTTGATTTGGAAATTGATTTAATTGAAGAAAGGGTGCAGGATAAATATTTTGTTGTTCATCAGTACTAGGAATAACAATTGGAGCTGAATAACTACTTTGTTGTTGATGATGATATTTGTTAGTATTAGGGAAAACAACCTTTGGAATTTGGTAAATATTTTGTTCTTCTTGCTGATGATAATGTTCATCAGCATTTGTGAAAATCACTTCTGGAGCTGAATAAATATTTTTTTGATGGTAATATTGATGTTTATCAGTATTAGATGAAGGATAAATATTTTGATGACATTGTTGATGTTGATATTGATATTGATGTAAATTATTAGTAGAAGCTGTTTTTCGAACCAGATAAACAGTTTGTTGTTGTTGTTCATTGTTATTAGTGGTAGAAGTTGCCTTTTGAAATGGATAAATGCTTTGTTGTTGTTGCACGTCATTATTCTCAGTAGAAGAAGTTTCCTTTTGAACTGGATTAATGCTTTGTTGTTGTTGTTGTTGTTGTTGTTGTTCGTCATTATTAACAGATGCTACTTTTTGAACTGGATAAATGTTTTGTTGTTGCACATCATTATTATTAGTAGAAGTTACCTGAACCGGATAAATGCTTTGTTGTTGTTGCATGTCATTAGTAGAAGCTACTCTTTGAACTGGACGAGGCTGTTGTACATTATTATTAGTAGAAGCTATTTTATGATATTCTCGTTTTCTTGTTTTCATTTTTTTATTTTTTTTTTTTTTATTTTTTTTTTTTAAAATCGTTTCCAAATTTGGAAGTGGAAACAAGGAGAAACAACAAATTTGTTGTTTCACTGTTCCGTTTCCTGTTCCTTCTGATCAGCCAATAAAATTTAATTTTGACCGTGTAACAAGGAACAGGAAACAGGAACGGAACAACTTTGAACACCCCTATTATAACAAATAATATTTATTTAAAATTATTTGTTTTTAATGAGATTATAAAGTTTATTATAAAATGTTAATAAAAAAATATAGCGCATAATTTGCATAATCTACCAAGTGTTGCATGCATAATTTGATGTTTGTTGCCGCATAAATCTGGGGTCTCTAAATCTGATGTTGATGACAATGATGATTTAGTTCAAGTTGTCCATGAGTCAACTAGATCTATGTATAATCTGGCACAACCTGTTTATGATAATAATGAAAAGAAAGTTAATTTCTATCAATGGAATAACTTTCTCTCAAAATATTTTAAAAAGCTTCCTAATATATCAAAAATGCATCATTTTACTTTTGAGAAAGAACATCCAGGTTGGGTGAAATATAAAAAACAACATGATGAACCTGATAATTATAGCTGTCTTTTAAAAAATCATGACTTTAGATTTGATTCTATAATTTTAGAGGATGAATTGGAAACAAAGGAGCCAATAGGATTAACCCCAACTAGACAGTGGTATTTGTATGATGAAATACGAGACTTTGTGCAAAATCCTATTAAGAAAGATATCATTTGTCCAGAACCCACTGTAGCTAGACCATGATTTTTTTAGAAATTTTATCTTTATTGTTATTTATTAATTTGTCATATAATTTATATATTTATTTATTTTATATATTTTATTGTTTTAAAAAATCAACTATTTTTTTTAATTTTCTGGGACAAGATCATCACCAATTTTCTATTTTAGAATTTTCTGGAACAAGATCATCATAAATTTTCTATTTTAGGATTTTATGGGACACAATTTACTTTTATGGAAATTTCATAATAAAAAACTTAATACCCCTTTTTCTCAAAAACATATTTTATAAAAATTCGGCCTTTTTTGCTGTCCATGCCCCAAATCAAAGACGTTTTAAAACCACTCCCTGAAATTCTTGGTAATACAAATGTTCACTTTATCTGGTTTTGTTGCAGTATGCCCCATATAGTAATAACAACAATAATAAATAAATTTCCTTGAAAAGAGTGGCTTAAATTTTTTTGTATCCTATTATACTAGATTGATTATCATTATTGTTGTATTATTTTACAAACAAAAAACTCTTCATAACTATTTTTTCTCGATTAAAAAGAAATGAACTTCATTTACAAAAATAACAAAGAGGGAATTAATGAATGATTAATATTAATGGCGAAATAAAATAGCCGACGAATAAATTCCAAGAAAATAAATAAAATGAAATTTAATAATGAAATTTATATTAAATTAGTCAAATTTGTGGATCAACAAGAATCAATATATTTGATAATAAATTAATTATTTTTCTTGAAAATAAAAAATAAAAAAAATAATTAATTCTCTTAATTAATAATTCAAAAAATGGAAGCAATTAAACAATACAGAACCATTTGTCCTTTTCTTCGCAATACCAACATTACAACTCTTCGTCATTTCGCTAGAAAGTCAAACGAGGCTGGAAGCAATGGTTTGGTTACTTTGGCTCAAACTTGTCCTGTTATGAGTAAAGCTTTAGCTGTTCAAAGCAAAAATTGTTTGCATACTTCAGTCAAATTGAATCAACGACCTACTTCTCCTTTGAAGCAAGTTTCCATCGTTTCTGTTCCCAATCCCATTGTTAACAATATTAAGAACCCATCTCACCATCACAATTATCCGAAGCATCATCCTCAACAACAAGTTCCTTGTAAACACGTCGAAAGTTCTAGGCAACAGCAGCAGCACATTATGCCAACTACTCATCACACTAAGGCTAAATTATTTGATTATGAGGCACTTTATTCTGATGAATTGAATAAAAAACACCAAGATAAATCTTATAGATATTTTAATAATATTAATCGTCTTGCTAAACATTTTCCAAAAGCTCACACTGCCAACACGAATGAAAAGGTTACTGTTTGGTGTAGTAATGATTATCTTGGAATGGGCAGAAATCCTGTAGTTCTTGAATCTATGCAGTAAGTTTTACAAATTTTCTTTTGAAAGAAGAAACAAGTAATGAATTTATTTCTTGATTCCTTACCTTCCCTTCTTTCTTCTTCCCTAATAATAATGATGATGATGATAATGAATAGAAATGTCATGAATACTTATGGTGCTGGTGCAGGTGGTACTCGTAATATTGCTGGTAATTGTAATTCCCATTTACAATTAGAAGCTGAATTAGCCGATCTTCATCACAAACCTGCTGCTTTAGTTTTCACTTCTTGTTATGTGGCAAATGATAACACACTGAGCACTTTGGCTTCAAAACTTCCTGGCTGTGTAATCTTTTCTGATTCTTCAAATCATGCATCAATGATCCAAGGTATTAAACATTCTGGTGCAAAAAAATATATTTTCAAACATAATGATCTAAAAGATCTTGAGGAAAAACTTCAATTGGTTGATATCGATATACCAAAAATCATTGCTTTTGAAAGTGTCTATTCCATGTCTGGCTCTGTTGGTCATATTGAAAAAATTTGTGATTTGGCCAAGAAATATGGCGCAATTACCTTTTTGGATGAAGTTCATGCTGTTGGAATGTATGGTCCTCGTGGTGCTGGTGTTGCTGAACATTTGGATTTCGACTTGAATGCTCGTTATCCTTATGCTGGTAATGGCAGTGTTCTAGACAAAATCGACATCATCTCTGGTACACTTGGTAAAGCATTTGGTGTTGTTGGTGGATATATTGCAGCTTCAGCAAGTCTCGTGGATATGATCAGATCATATGCCCCTGGATTTATTTTTACCACTTCATTGCCACCTTTCATTGCTGCTGGTGCTAAAGCATCTATTCAACATTTGAAAAAATCAAACAAAGAACGTGCAATGCAACAACTTAATACTCGTTTGTTGAAAGAACGTCTTGCTCAATTGGATATTCCTGTTGTGCCAAACCCTTCTCACATTGTACCTGTATTAGTTGGTGAGGCTGAAACTTGCAAAATCGCATCTGACCAATTGTTAAGTAATCATGGCATCTATGTTCAATCAATCAATTACCCAACTGTTCCCAAGGGCGAGGAACGTCTCAGAATTACACCCACACCTGGTCATAATCAACAAATGACCGATTATCTTGTTAATGCATTAGAAATTATCTGGCGAGAAAATGGATTGAAACGTGTTAATGATTGGAGACTTGAGGGTGGCAAAGCTGGAGTTGGCACCAATGATCCAACCCCTAAGCCAGTTTGGACTGATTATCAATTAAATAATATTAATGGCAAGAATAATGTCAAAGAAATTAGTGCTAATGAATTTAATTCTAAAAATTTAAATATTATGGCTTATTAAATGAACATATATATGTGTGTGTTTAATATAATGATTTTTATTTAAAATTTAGCTTAGAAAGTTTTGGCCTAAATATGTTATTTTGTTATTTTATGTTATTTAAAATCTTAAAAAATAAAATTTTTGAGCAATGAATGAAAGGTTGGGTAAATTGGCACCATTCACTAATGTTCATTATAGAAAGTAAACTCCAAACATCCCACCACAGAATTTTAATCACGAATTTACAATTGATGTAATTTTATTTTAACTCGCAACATAATTATTATATTCATATATACATTAGTAAATAATTATATAATTGCATTTAATACTTCCTAAATTGAAAACATCGTTTAGCAATCAAAAATTTCCAGCACTCACTATATTGATTGCATATACTTTTTTTTTAAATAAATTCCTTCTTTTAGTGATTTTAGCCAAGGAGTTTAACTTTGACAATTATAATTATAATTATTTGGGGAAGAAGGTAAAATTTCTCTAGCTTCATTAATTGATTGATTAATTGTTTATTTATTTGTCATCAGATTGTTTCCTCTTCTTTGCCAATTCTTTTTCTTTTTTGTTAGCAATTTTGTTAGTATTGGTACTGGCTTTTCGTATTTTCGAGATGTTATTTTCTGTTGTTGAATTGTCGTTAGAAAGAGATGATGATATAGAAGGACCTATCAGAGATTTTTTTCCAACCAGTCCATACAGTAATTCAATTTCTTTTTTCCAATCATTAAATGTTTTATCATCAGCTAATGGTGTTTCTAATATCAATGGTATTTCATTTAATCGATCATCATTCATTATCAATCGAAAAGCTTCCAAACCCAAATGACCTTCGCCGATATTCTGATGTCTATCTCTGTTTGAGCCTAATTCCAGAGTCGAATCATTTAAATGCATTCCTTTTAAATATTGAAAACCAACATGCTGATCAAATTTTGACATTGTCTCCTCATATGTTTTACTTGTGCGTAAATCATAACCCTAAGTAAATAATAAATAATGGATTAATAATTAATCAATTTAATCAATTTATTAAATAATCATCAAATAAAATTACTGCTGCAAATGCATGACATGTATCAAAGCATATTCCAATACGACTTTTATCTATAGATTATTAATTAATACATGAAATACAAAATGAAGATTAATAAATTAATTAAAAAAAAAAAAAAAGATAAATTTTCATTTTATTTACCCTTGACACGTGAAATTATTTCACCAAGCTCTTCAAATTTTGAACCAATAGAATTTCCCTGACCAGCCTACAATAGTAATTTAAAATGATCATTGTAACTATTATTACTAACATAATATTTAAAATACCAGTTAGAAGGTGAACACACCATATTTTCAACAACACATGTTATGCCAATTGTTTCACCGTGTGCTCTATTAATACAATCAGAAATGTTTTGTATTGCTTGATCTACACTACACATTCCAACAGTAGAACCTGGACTCCAATTATTGTAATCATAAAAAAATATAATTTTGGGGTTTCCAATTATTTTTTACTTTACCAATGAATAACATGTTATGATAAATATGATAAAATTATAACATACTGAAAGTTATATAACACTAGGCCTAAAGCTTCACATCTCTTCAAATCATCCAAAAATGCTTGATAACTTTTTTCTCTCTTTTCCTCATCTGGATTTGCCAAATTGACTAGGTAATTTCCATGTGGAAGAATATATTTTGCAGGATAATCGTGTTTGATACACAAGGATTGAAAAGATGAAATATGATCAGTATTAAGTGGAGGTGATTCCCATCTACGCTGATTCTTCAAAAATATTGCAAATGCATTTGCTCTAAATAATAATATTTCAGTTGAATGATTTAATTGGCAAAAAAAAAACTTTCTGAACATGACACTTTGCTTACCCAATAGATAAGCTATTCTTTATCGCATTATGCACTCCGCCAGCCATGCTAACATGAGCGCCAACAAATTTTGTAACATTTGCAAGTCTTTTCGGGAATAAATTCATGTCTTCCGAGCTGATTTCATTTATTATCTCTTTAACATAATTTTTACTATTTGTATCTTCAAGATTTTTTTCTTTTTCTTCTTTGATTACTGCGTATTCAATTTTACTGTTGATTCCGGTTTTCTGTCGCGAATTTTTAGCACGTTTTGTACGTTTTTCGTTATCATTCTTGAGGTTCTTTGAATCTTGATCTTTTTTTGTCATATCAAAAAATACCTTATACCACCAGGACCCCTGAATATACTATATATATAATAGACCAGATTTGGAATTTCTAAATATATATTGTAATATTTTAGACCCGGGTTATAATAAAATATTCTGCTCCGGGTCAGTACAAAAAATTAGAAATCTTAACCCACTCCATGATGGAGTGATACATAACCCGGGTTGATGCCAGAACATTATGCTCCATTTAACAACCCTACCCTTTTTAAATGGTGATGGGTTTTTTAAAATCCAATGTGTGGATCACATAATATTTCAAAAACTTTAACTTTTGAGTATAGATGATCCGCACTGTACTATGTGTCTATTTTTGTAATCTCCAACCAAAATTCAAAACACTAGCTCCTTTTATTGATTTCTTCAAGACTATTTCTTAATGCATAATTTATTATTATCGTGGTATATTCTACGCACACAATTTATAAGGTCACACAAAGCCATGGGAACAATATGTTAGTGTGAGGAGCTTTCTTTAATTGATAGGATGATTGCTCTGGTTTACATCCTTTTTGTTGGATCCAGCATAGTGGAAGTTTGTTGTTACACGAAACGTTATACAGAACTCATTGCTTCTGAAACTTCGCCAGTATATAGTTGTTACCTCTCTAAATTGGAGATCAAGTTCAGATCCAATTCAAATCCAGTTTATCACTTACTTTTTATTGCTAGAATGTTTGCTGTGTATTGTAAAGCTACGTTGCACAATATAAAAAATTAGTGTAACATTTCAAATTTCCACTATGCTTTCTCGTCATCAATCACACACATGAATTATTTTTTTCGTAATGAAATATACAATATTAAATTTTTTTATTTTAATAAAAATATTAATGTAAATGTGAATGATGATAATAATAATATAATTTTATAGAAAATGAATGAATCAGCAATAAAATAATTTACATATGAATAACAGAGAAAAATTTTTTAAAATTATATTTTCTTCTTTTTCATCCAAGATTCGTCTCAGTTCACACCACTAGAGTTTAAACCTAACCGTATTTAATTTAATTCAACGTAGTTTGCTGGGAACTTTTTATAAAATAAAAATAAAAATAAAATAAATATTAAAATATTATTTTCAAAGAAATAAATTCCGGTTTAATAATAAAAACACTTACAATTCCTTCTTTTCCTTTACATTTACCAGTCCACCAATCATTAGTACTTTCTGATTGTTTTGTAATAATAATAACATCACCTTTGCTGAAGGTTAAATCACCATCTTGTTCTCCATCAAAGTCATATAAGGCAACAGCTGTTTGTTGTTTTTTACGCGGTGGAATATTAGGTTTAGGAGCTATTGGTGGCGGTTTAGATGATGACTTTCTATTTAAACTATTGCTACTAATACGATTATTAAACTCATTTGACAAAGACAATGCACGTTGGACATCTTTTGCATTTGATTCGGAATAACTTGGCTTCTTCTTAATTGATGATGATGAAATGCTATTATTATCATCGCCATCGTCGTTGCTGTCATCTTTATTATTATCAAGTCTATCTTTGTATGTTGATGACGACAATGATGTCGAACCGCTGTATCGATTTTGATAAGAGTTATTTTTTGAAGCAGATGTTGATAAAGAAACTGATCGACTCAATTTTGGAGGCTCATATTCTTCTCCATAAACTGGTTCATCGTTATATTGTGTCTCACCATAACTGTTACTACGTGAAGCTTTTGCATTAAGTGCTCGATATAAAATGTCAGCTTGGGGTGGCGGCGGGATTTTTCCTGATAGAAGTTCTTTTGCTGATACTTTAGAATGATAGAATTTGGAATTTGTATCTTTACGTTCCACAATTATTGAACCTTCAATTGATACACCTGCACATATGACAAATTATTATTATTGTAATTATTATTGACGACTTTAATAATTTTCAAATAATAATTTTTTTTCATAAACAAAAAAATAAACAAATACCAGCAAATAATCCTTTTGTTTTGCTATTTAATTAATTACGTGTATATATACATATATACACACATTATTATAAATAACTATACAAAATAACTAAAATGACCAGTTGCCACTTACCTATAAGAAAATATAGCTGCAACATTTCCAAGCGAAACTGAACTTGCTCCTTCAGCTGTCCTTCCAACGGGTCCGGCAGCAACTTTTTTATTTCAATAATTTAGAACCAAAATATTAGTAAATATTGATTTATATATATATATATATATATATATATATATATATAACACAATACGTACCAGATCTAATTGAAAATTCAGAAAAAAGGATTTAACAATTGAAATTTTTTTTAAAATAACTGAAATAGTAATAAATTACTTACAAATTTCCTCCTAAAGTGACGTTTCCACCATTCATAAAAGATCTAACTGCGTCCTTACTATTTAAGACTATAACAAAATCTGTAAGTTCAGCACCAATTTGTCCACCAACTCCCTAAACGTAATTATAAATATAAATAAATTAGCATGAATAAATGATATTTATTACTTGTACTTAACCTTAATTGTCATTTGATTACAATAATTTATAATGTAATTAATAAACTCACCATTCCACCAATATTAATTGCAGAGGGAGCAGACCATGCTGATCAATCAAAAATGAAGTCAATAAAAAATGTATATAGATAAATAGATAAATCACAGATCATAAATTACTTACATCCATTTTCAAGCCTAATAATACATTATGAAAATATTTATAAAATAAATACTATATAATTAAAAAAAAACAATATTCTATTCATAATATATTAATACCTTGCTACAACTAGTCCAGATCCACATCTTCCTGAAAATAAAAATCCAGCTTTGATTACTGTAAATATTGCAAACCCTTTTGCTCTTTGTAAAATATTTGGTGGTATAACTTTGTCTGGTCCCTTTTTCCAAATAAATTTTTTTTATAAGATTATTATTTTTTCATTAATTAATTAATTTTCTTTTATAAAAGTTGACTTACTTTTGCTGCAACTGGATCTAATGAAAATAACAATAAAATATAAAAATGTTAGAAAAATTTTTTTTTAAAGTAGTATTGAACTTATTATTTACACATACCAATAAAGCTATTCAAGATTTTAGAAGCTTTTTTGCATTCACCTAATTAACCAAATTTGAAAAACATTGTAATTAAACAATTGATTTTAGATGTGGGTGCATCTATATATACACTAATGATAATGATATTGAACCTGCAAGATCTGTTGGTAAAGGGGAATTGACCATTTTGAAATTTATGACTTAATATTATTTTGTTTATATATATAGAGAAATAATAAATAGAGATTGAATAGGGGAAAACCATTCAGGAGATAAATATATTTCTATCTTGGCTAGAAAATGCTTGCGTTACAGCATGACATCAAAATGCAGGTAACATCATTAATGATCCAATGATTTCTTATTATGGGAAGAGTTACAACGAATTAAGGCTTCATATGTCATAATGGTTTTTTATATTGCAATCAAAAAAATCTATTAAATAACATGTGCAGATAGAATTTTTACATCATCTTTTGGACTAAGAAAAAATTAAAAAACTATTTTAATGAAAATTAAAATTTTCAAGAAAACAAACAAATAAAAAACATACCGATCATCTGAGTCAGTAGGAACAAGACCCATACGTTTTACAACTCTCATACCGTCACTTACTCGTCCGAAAATTGTATGTTTACCATCTAACCATGGCGTTGGTGCTAACGTTATAAAAAACTTTTTTTTAAAAAAAGTAACAATAGCAAATAAGTATTTGTAAATTTTTTGTTTAAAATATTACATATATAAATATAAACTTATTACTTGACTTCCATTTGTGTTTGGACCTGCATTTGCCATACTAAGAATACCAGCTCCTGTGTGTTTTAATTCAGGACGAATTTCATCTTCAAATGTTTCTCTTAATATATATAATATGTTAGAATTCATTATATAAAAATCAATCGATTGATTGATTAAGTATTTAATTACCCACCCATATATTGACGAACCTCCACGTCCAGTTCCTGTTGGATCACCCCCTTGTATCATGAAATCCTTAATAAATTAATAAATATTTTTTATTATTGATATTTGTTCCTAATTGCAAAAGAAAAAAAGCTTTTTTCCCTACACTGAATCACTCATACACGTACCGGAATTATTCTATGGAACTAAAAGTAAGAAATTATAGGAAAAATCAATCACTAAAAAAATCATCCATTAATCAATTAAATACTAAAACTTTTACTCAACTATAACACCATTATAATATCCACGTTTTGTCTAAATAATGAATTAAAGAAAGAAAAAGAATCATTTTAAAATTTAATTTATCAAAAAAAGTTTTGCCGATAGATATGTGTATATTAAAAAATATATTACCAAATCATAAAAGTTTTTACAAGTTTTTGGTGAATGATCCCAGTATAATTCAAAAGTTATTGTTCCCTAATCATCAAATATTATATATATTACTATATATTATCAATTTAATACATATAGTAAGAACTTTTGAGAAATGCATATACCATTGATGTTTTAAATATCACCGTTCCAGACATTTTGTTATCCATCTTTAGAGGAAAAAAGAACACTCAAACAATATCTTTTATGTTACACTAGCGTGACATTTAAGTATGAGCTGTGTACAATCTTAAAGATTATCGCCAAATTGGTTTAAACGTAATAATAAAATAAAGCCATGTAGTGAATCAAATATGGCACGGAGAATAGAAAGGGAGGGGTCAACGTCAAGATCTGCATTTCTAACCCTTTAACGGAAAATATCTCATTAAAATTAATTTTTGAGATGAATTGCATATAGCAATGTTGCTAACTCAAAATCATGATCTTTATAATTATCTTTGTTTCTATTGCCAATGTCTTGTATACTATTTTTTTAAAAAATCTTTAACTCAAAATTTTAAGCTAAAATCGTTTCTTGAGACAAGTTATGTATATATGTGGTATCAACTCAAAATCACGACTTTTGACGTTGAAATCTTTCTATTGTCCATGCTCCATATGTGTCCATGCAAGATTTATCCAAATCTTGTAGTAAAACCACAGTAGAAGGCTCCAGTGAAAATGGTAAAAAAGCTCGGGATTATGATAATAATAAACAAGAAATTGATCATGATGGTGATTGAAAAAAAAAGTAAATTCATAATAGAAGGAGAGAAATAGAAGATGATATTGATGACAAGGAGGACGATTGGATTGTGCAGCAATCGTCAGATATAATAATCAAGAAAATGGTCATAAAGATTATTATTCTTATCTGGGAAATGACGATAAACAAGATTATAATGATCTTAGTAAATAACAATAGTATAAGCAGCAAGATAGTAATCGAGTAGGTAATAATAGTAATCAAGAAAATGATCGGACAGGGTATCTTCCCTCTTCTTCTTGATTTTGGTTATTTTTATCATAATCTTTTTCAAGAAAGTGATCATAATGATAAAAATGATTATTAATAGGAAAAATGTTGTCCTAAATTTGGTTAAAAGCTTATATACGTATATAATAAAAAAAATCCATAAATCCATTCACATAGATTCAAAATAATAATAAATAAACAATCACTTTGCTCATGAAGGAATTCCAGCCGATAGAGAATTCACATATTTATCAGAATTGAAAATTCTCATCAGAGCATGCAACAAACACAGCAGAAATAAATAGCCTAGCAAAAAATACATACATGTCATAAACAGAGTAAAAAACAGTTGTAGCTTCAGAGCACCTGTTAAATTGGAAAACGAATTAAAGTACGCACATAATAATTTTTCTTTTTACATTTTGCAATAATATGATTTTAATATTAACGATAATATAAGAAGTTGGAGGACGTCAAGGTTACGAAACTATCTTAAAAAAAGGAATTGTGGATCGTACTTCGTCTGCATCAAAAGTTGAATCAGCAGCTGATAAATTATAAACAAGAAAGGATTTCAAGCCACAACGTCTAAAATCATAAAATAATGATAATTGATCATGTTCCTTGAAATTAATTAATTCATCGACTATGTTTGATTGATTGATTGATTGATTGATTGATTGATTCATTCATTCATTTGTTCATTGATTCATTCATTCATTCATTTTTAAATTGATTAATTCATTTTTGATTCATTATAATTAATTAATACATGTGGTTGGATTATTCATAGTTTTGTCTTATTTATTACTTTATCATTTTTGCGAGTAATTTTTCCAACCTTTATTTATCCAATCAAAGTAAATAGTTGCGGCCGCACATTCATTTAAAATATCATATGTTATGACACATGTCTAGATAAATTACAAGTTTCTTTAGAGAAGAAATCATTATTCCGGTAACAATGTAATAACAGAGTAATAAACAAATAAATAATAATGTAAAATCGTAAAACAAAAATAAAATTTACTTGATGTTTTTTTTTAATTCAGTTCGATCGAAGAAGATTACTAAATTTTCTAAAATTAATAATCTTTCCTTCATTTATTTATTATTCATTCATTCATTCGTTTACTCGTTCATTCCATTCATTCACTCATTTAATAATAAAGAAATCATGAGCAATTATAGAAACAATTGAAAAAAATATATTCTTAATTTTTTTTTTGAATTAATTCTCCGTGTTTATTTAATAATAATACTAACTCTACAGTTTTTTTTTCATTATATATTTGATTTATAAATTATATATACTATATACGTAAACTATATATACATGCGTGTGTATATAATTGATTTGATAAGTACTAGGAAATAACGATATAAAGTGTATAAAATATATAAATATTGACATTTTCTAAATTCAAAAAATCAAAAAAAAATTTATTTTCTTTTACTCTATTTTTGAAAATTTATTCTTTTTTAATCAACTAAAAAAATCAATCAGTTAGCGAATCAATAAAAACCGAAGAGAATGTGTTATTATTGATGTCATTATTAATTACAATTTTGAACAATTATAATAACACATCATTACTACTAAAATAAAAAATCATTTTTCCTCTTCCTATTACATTAAAGAATCTTATCCTTCAATAATAATTAAAATAAAGAAGAAGAAAGAAATGATGATAAATAATCGGTTGGCCGAATCTAATCAAGCTTCTCCTTTGTTGCAACCATTACAACAAACTTTGCATCCATCTCAATCTCATCAATCGCCTCTTCAACCCATGCAATCGTCTCAATCTTTACAACCTTTACAACCGTATTCATTATATCAACCGATCCATCATCCTTTAAATTCACCATTACAACATAGTCAATATAATAATAATAATAATAATAATAATAACAATAATAACAATAATAGTAATATTAGTAATATTAGTAATATTAACAATCGTGATAATAATTATCATCAACATAATCATCATCAACTTCAACATCAGCACCATCATAGTCAATATCATCATCAATGGTCAATTATAAACGAACCAGCTTCATTAGTTAGTAATAATAATAGTAATAATAGTAATAATAATATTAATAATCATCTTCTTCTTCATAATAATCATCTTCTTCTTCGCAATCCTCTTTCTCTTAATAGTTCTCCCACACCTTCTCTTCCTAATAATAATAATAATAATTCATCTTTACAAAATCACCGATTAAATAATCCAACAACAACATCGACTTCTTCCTCACCTTCATCATCATCAACAAATTATCATCATCAAAATCATCCAAGTTATCAAAATCTTCATAATATTCAGTTACCTAATATAAAAGTACCATTTCCGCCAATAATCAATCTAAAAGAATTAATCTCAAGACCAAGAAAAGGAAAAACAAAAGTTCCGTCAAAACCACCGAATGCTTTTATGATTTATCGTATGCAATATGTTAAAGAATTACACGCAAGAAATCATCGTCTACCAATGAGAAGCATATCTCCTTCTGTAGCAAATTCTTGGAGAGAAGAACCAGATTCTGTTGTTAATCATTATGAGCAACTTGCCAGAGATGCAAGTAAATATTACAATTTAAAATATCCCAAACCTCCTCCCTCTACTTCCGTTTCTTCCACCTCTATTATTAATTCAACAACCACAATTAGAGCACCATTTGAACACAAGATTCCTTTACGTTTGAATCAAACAAGCGACAACAACCATATTATTATTAATAATAATAAAATAAAAAGCATTATTTCCACAAATGAATCATATTTTCATAATAATAATAATAATAATAATAATAATAATAATAATAATATAAATTATCTTTCTTCAACAAATTTATTATTAAATAAAGATGATGAAAATTCAATTAAATCTTTCAGATCTTTAACTAATAACAACAACAATATTCCTTCTTTGCCTCATTTTAATTCGTTAAATAATTACATGTCAGAAAGTACTGCTAACAATAATGGTAATAGTAATAATAATCTTAACCCTGATCTTAACGAATAACCCTTCTGAATTAGATTTAAATCAGTAAGCTTGAAAATTTTCTTAAAACCAATAATAATAACCTATTTAAGTAATTCTAAGTTAAATTCTTTTTTTAATTCAATATTTAATATACGAAATTAGTATTATATGACTTGATTTTTTTTTTTTAATGTAATTTAATCAAATAAAAACAATATAAATAACAATTAAATTAAAAATTATGGGAAGAAATTTATCATGATTAATTAATTGTATGTTATGTAATTTCACGTATAATCTTACTTTTTTCCTTTATTTTCCTCAGCCAGTGTATAAAATTCAGTGTGGGGAATACATTAGTAGTTTTTTGCAGATAGTTTCTAAATTTGTAGAAATCTGCATTGGTTACACCCATAAATTTATCAGCACTCTTTAAATTTGCCTGTATTTTCCGGCAAATATTTTCCGAAATTTTCACGAGAAACTTTTGTGCGCTACATTATTGACACTATTTTTACACCCGCACTTGCCATCCCTTTTTTTTAATTCATTAACTCCTTTTTTAAAATATTTTTATTCACGCTTATTCGTTTCAAATTATAGAACAATTATCATGGTGATGATTATGAATTAATAATCATAATCGTCATATGTGAAAAGAATTCATTCATATTTGCTGTTCACCATGTGACAAAAATTTCAGAGAGTCAAATTTAAAAACCTGAATGAAATCCAGAGTTGTTATGGAATAAGCTATAACAGCACTATAGATGGGCGTCTAAATTTTTTTGGGGGTTGTCTAAAGTCAAAATATACAGTGAGTCTCGATTTAACGGACCTCGATTTAGCGGATTTAGGGTTTAACGGATAAATTTTCAAAACCAAATTTTTCTATAATATATATATTCGATTTAGCGGATATTTTTTAAAAGTCAATATATGTCACTTATAATAAAATTCTCTCGATATTAGGGATGGGGCGGTTCCACTAGGAACCGGTTCTGAACCGAACCGAACACAGAACCGCGAACCCGAGTTCTAACCGTTCCCCATGTGATTTATACCTATATGAGGAAATCCTGAGTTAATCTTTCCTTAAAAGGAAAGATTAATACGAATAACGTGACTTATTAATATTCAAATAAATTAAACAAATTAAATATTATTATTATTATTATTATTATGTAAATAACGAATAAACGGACAAACAAATGAATGAATATGATAGATATTAATATACAAATAAAAAGTGCATAAAATAAAACAAACATTAATAATATTAAAGGATTTTTTATTAGTAATTAGTATAGAGTTACAAAAAAATAAAAATAAACATAAAGAAAGTATAAGGAAAAAAATATGTAATTTTGAGAATATTATTCTAACACTCTAAACCCCTACTTTATTGATTATCCAACTCTTCATACACAAATATGCTCTTGCAGTTTCTGGCAATAAGCAATTTCGCACCTTACTGATTGTATTTCCAGCAACTGAGAAAGCACATTCTGATGGAACACTGGTTGCTTGTATTGTAAGATAATCCTGCGTCATTAAGATATTTCAAAAATCATTTTTTACAATTCACCAAAAAGACCATTTTTTACAATTCAAAAAATCATGCCAAAAGTCTATTTTTTACAATTTAAATGATTTATTAGGATAATGTCAAAAAATCTTTTTTTACAATTCACCCCAAAAGTTTATTTTTTACAATTTAAATGATCTGTTAAGATAATGTCAAAAGTCTTTTTTTTTTACAATTCGCCAAAAGACCATTTTTTACAATCCAAAAAATCTTTTTGCAATTCACACCAAAAGTCTATTTTTTACAATTTAAATGATAATGTTAAAAAGTCTTTTTTTACAATTCGCCAAAAGACCATTTTTTACAATTCAAAAAATCTTTTTACAATTCATGCCATAAGTCTATTTTTTACAATTCTTTTTAAATTCATGCCAAAAGTCCATTTTTTAAAATTTAAAATGATTTATGTCAAAAGCCTTTTCTGCAATTTGCCAAAGGTCCATTTTTTTTATACAATTCAAAAAAAACCATTTGCAATTCGCCAAAAGACCATCTGTTAATATTAAATAATTAAATTTATTTGAGGTCAAAACCACTTCACCATATCGGGATATTTTAATATCTGTTTTTGTCATTTTCATTTACCTTCCTTCATTCCTATTGGTCAATTTAGTGATTGGCAAAACAAAAATAATCGCCAACATTAAATATGGACAATGACTAGATAGTATCTCATAGACTGTTTTCATATTAGGAAGCAATACCCTTAAAGAAAATTAGTTTTGACAATAATATTTTGTGCTACATCTATTTTGGAACCGGTTCCAAGAACCAGTTTGAACAGTTTGGTTCAGTTCAGTTCTATTGTAACCAGTTCCATGGAACCAGAACTGAACCAAACTGAACCACCCCATCTCTAGTAATGATCATCATTATCTGTTATATCAAAATAAGTTTGTTAATGTACAACATGAGAAAGTCTAAAAAAATAACTGGTATACTGAATATATTAATATATAAAAATCTGCTAAATCCATTAAATCAAGATAAAATAACTATAAAAAAATACTGTTCTGAAATCCACTAAATCGAAATCCGCTAAATCGAGTTTCACTGTGTATTTTATATTTTATATTGTAACTTAATTTTCTTGCAGACATGATGACTTGGTGGATAATCATGACAGTAATGCATGGATCTAGTTGGAGTGCATTACACTTTTTACACTTTACACTTTATCTTTATCTTATATTATATATTTTATTTTATCATTATTTATTTCTAACCTTTTTAGCAATAGAAAATTTTATTGAATAATTCTTTCAAGAAGGTTTCAATAATATGTGGGGCATTTGAAAAGTTTTGTCACTGGCCCTGTAAAATGACAATCTTATGTGTAACTTTGTACAGATTT